AGCTCCTCTTGCATGTTTCTTTCAAAGGTTATAGGTTTGGTTACATTACAGTTTAATTTCTGAATCCTTTAACTTTATAATAAATGTTGCTATTTTTGAATCTCCTCGACTTGCTCGGTACAGATTGGATTGCTTTGTTACCCTGACATGCTGATTTTCCTGCCATCAGGAAAGCCTCCCATCATCAGATGAAAGTGAATCATTATGCCAGCTGTGATTACAGTCTACACTGGCATCGGAGGAATAGTTAGCGCCACAGGAAACTGTCCCAGAAAATGCGTCCCACAGTGCAGCAGAATCACATGGAATGAGTGCAGGAGCATTTAATGTTTTTTGTCTCGTTTTTGCTTTTAACAGAGCTGCACACAAATCAAGATCACACCCAGGAAAAAAAAAAATTGTTGGCTTCGACGTCTAGTTATCTTTGTGTCCTTCTGTTTTGCTGTCTTCGGGTCTTCCTCCAACCTAATGATAGTTTAAAATGAAACAGTCAGTCATATCTGTTAAATGCCTATTTTCTGTTTGTTTCACCTTTGGCATTTTATTTCACACCACAGTTTCAAACCAGAAATCCTAGTAAGACATACTTGTAAAATGCCTCTGTTGTTTTGTACAAGCACATGATAAAACTTGATTCAATTAAATTATTATGTATTTAATCTGCAGTACTCTATGTAATATGTAGAAATAATGTGGCCAACCTTACCTCTCACCCACTTATTTTACTTATATGGCACATAAAAGGTAAAAGATTAATAAATACAAGAATAAACTCTCAAATTAAATACATTTTATTTTGCCTTCTAAAATGTTGTGCATGCCTGATTTTAAAATTGTAGGACCAGAAATGAAATAAATACCTTTTCTGTGTTTTATCCTGAATAGTTTTTAACAAAGTGCTTTACTGTGTATCTTCATTATGTGTCATTAGCAGTCATTAGTAGATGGATGTTGCTTTTGTCTCTCTGTTGATGAGGACCACAACATGTGGTTGAAAGCTCCAGAAAACCTTGCATTAAGAGTCCTGCTTCTAGGGTGAAAAATGAACTCTCAGCTTCAACCTTTAATACCTGTTGTGTCACTTTCACCACAGTGTCATGCTTTCTACTCTTACCCTCTGTACCTAAGCTTCAGGCCATGTGTTGTATAGCGCACCCCTCACTTGTAGCTGACAGGTATGAGAATTGTGCGTTCTCTGTTCTTCATGAGATCTGCCTCCTAGGATGAGAAACCAGGAAGAAAGTGTGTTCTCTGCCCTTGTATCCATCAACATCTTAATATGGATTCACACTGAAGGATGGAGATGGGACAAGACAGGAGAGATAGACTGAATTTGACAGAGACGTATCCTTATCTCACCTGTTATTTTTCAATCTGAGGAGAATTTGCATAATAGAGGGGAGCTAGACAGAAAAGTAAAAGAAGGCGTTATTCTCAAGTGGCTTGAGTTTGCTCCTTTTTTAACCATCAAATGCTGCCTGCTCATACGTAACAGACGTTCATGTTGCCGTGACAAAAGCATGCACAATAATATAATGTAACACTGTACATATTCAGGAAAACATTTCAAGGATTTAAATCCTAAACATGGATACATTCTATCTATACTGTCTATACTCTAGCCAGCGTGTTTATCTCCCAGCGGAAGAAATAAAACATATACACATCTTTAAATACTTTAGTTTTGGCTTTCAAAAGATGACTCAGTAGCTTCTCGGGGGATGTGGGCTGTGTCTTAACTTCAGTCTCTGAATGCATTTGCAGTTTCCAGCAGAACCATCACTGGGAGAACATTAACGGAGGTACATGCTGTGCATAAAGCTTTTTTGTATTTTTCACCAACAAATATTGATATTAAACATTTGGCAGGTATTTTCATTCTGAAAATGTAAGAAAAAAAGTGTATGAAAGTGTTGTTGATGCATTGTTCATATGTAAGGCTTTGCATAATAAGTGAAAAGTTATTGCAGCAAAAAGTATTGTTAAGTCAACAGACTGGACACTTCTCTGTGTGTGTGTGTGTGTGTGTGTGTGTGTGTGTGTGTGTGTGTGTGTGTGTGTGTGTGTGTGTGTGTGTGTATTTAGCTTTTCAGCTCCTCTCAGCCTTTCCTATCACATTTCCCCACTTTCCCATCTATCTTTCTCAGCTCTTTCTTCTCACCACTCGCTTCAGTTCACCTCTGCCCTCATCCTTCTTTTCTCTCTTTCCCTCTCTTTCCTCTTCCTCCACCCTTCTCGGCCCCTGTACGGCTCCATCCCAACAGTACGTCTCCTCCTGACAAATGAGGCCACTGCCTGGCCGCCAGCAGCGGTGCATCAAGGGCGCAGTTCCTGAGGGCCCAGTCAGTCAAACCACACCGAAGCCATCTCCATCCGTCTCTCTATTCTCAGCCATTTTTCCTCCCATCTTCCTCCTCATCCCCCGGGATCCACTTTGCACAAGGCCGAGCGAATGTCAATTAGAGATACGGTGACTAACTCCTCTCTTTGCTCACCTGGTCTAAAGATTCTCAGTCCATCTGTGTTTGACAGGGTTTCTCTGAAGGAGGGTTAGTGTGTAGATGGGAGGTAGAATATTCCCCATAGATGGAGCTGACAGTTTATTCTGTGATCACACTTCAATTACAACAATGGGCTTTATGTGAAATATTTCACTGTTTTACCTAACAGTTGTTCGCACATCATTCCTACACCCATGTGTGTGTATGATGAGAAAAAAATGGGATTTGTTTTTAGGAGCAGAAAGCATTACAATAAATACCTGGAATAATACAAATTACATTCACATAGCCTTTACAGGAATATTGTTAGTGAAGCTCGTCAATGCTGTTCTCTCAACTGTTGTGGACTTTATTTGATGTGGTAGAGCTGGTGCATTTTGCTCATACAGTAACATACCTGTGGTTCAGTTTGGAGGAAAAAGTCACATGAAGATTGTTGAAGGCAAACACCTAATTTACATTACAACAGATTCTTGACATTTTTATTAAAAATCAGTCTTACAACTTTAGAGCTGAACTTATCAATATTTTTTAATTACTTATATATAGAATAATTAGCGAACATAGTGGAGCATTTAGCAAACTAAATAGGTGAATATTTCTCTCATTACATGGTAGACACCAAAACAAAGCTAGAAAAATGTTGGACTTAGATTCACCAGGTGGCCAGTAGCATGACTCCAAATGAAAGACAAAGCTCTAAGATGATATTATATATTATGTAATAATATAATAAGTCCCTGCAATCACAATGGTGAATTTGAATCGCAATGCAGAAGCATGTTATTAGCTGTGTTAGTAGCTATGTAGCTACGTGTTTGTATAGAGCAGTTTATGTATTTCAGTCAAAGCTTCAGAGGTTTCTATGTGAGTGCAGTTTAATTTAGTTGTAAGTGAGGACCGAGCTCATTGGAGCACTTGTTGAAAGTGAACAATAAAAATGAATCCTCTTTTTTATTTAATATTTATTAGTAAATTATAGTGATTCAAAAGTGAAAATGCTGACCACAGCACAAACAAAAAAGTCATTTGTTCATCACAGTTCAGTGATATTTCCCAGCCCTATTAAATATACTCATATAAAATCAATGCAATCAGTGAGACTCATAAGTGTGTATTTGGTGGGCGTGACAACAAGGCTCAGATTGATTCTGTAGATTTACATGTAATGACTGCAGACCACCTTGGAAGGTTGTATGTGATTTATACTTTCACTATTCAGTATATTGACTATATTATGATTAGAATGGTCAATACTGTGTGACTGTGTGAGCATGGTGTTTGCACTGATTCCAAGTTAATTGTACAAAAGAGCAAAGGCAACATAAAGTTCAATTTCATGTTATTTCTGACCGGTGACTAGGTTCGGTTTATTGTGTATGCTTCTGTTTCAGCTTTTTATACGCTGTTACAGTAATTTATAATAGCTGTAATAATGTATGATTTATATTTAATTTGAAGCTGTCACTCATGTTGATTTGATCTGCACCCTTAAAATCCTTCACAAGTCAAGTTAAATTACATCTGAAACACCAGAACACAAAAGGAAAAAGGGAAAAAGAAAGGTTCCTGAAATACTTCCAAATGATGTTTGTCTCTTAATTTAATTAAAGTATCATTTATTAACAATAAATTGATTCATGTTTTCTGTATCCCTGTTTTTCTTCTTTGTTTCATTGATTGTAGACTGTACACAGACCGTGTTGTCTCTCTCTGTAGTGCTGAGTATAAGTGGATTAACAATGACTGTGGTTTAAGAAAGTTGAACGTGTGTTTGAACATAAAGGAGTATGTTGGTGTTGTCTCCACTCTGTCTGAGCTTCTCCAGAAAAGAGGGCTAAACAAGGTGTCCCTCCACACTCACACTGCATGCTGAGTCAGATGATGTGTGATGCAGAATGTGCTGCTATGATGAGTTATCATCCATTACGGAAAACTTGTCCAGAGAAAATGATGTTCTTGGTGTAGGTGGCTGCTCTTATAGGTGCATGGGTTTGAAGTGCAGTGATGCTTCCAAATTAGTATATCTGTACAATGTTCAGCTCTGGCTGCTGTATCCACAGAAGGATTATACAATATTCTCGCCACCCTTTTACTTCAGTTTATGTTCTATTTTCTTGACACTCCCCTGGAAACTAAAACGAAAGGTCATTCAACCTGCAAAAGGGCTCTTTTCTCTCGCTTTTGGAGAAATTATGAAGAAAACTGGTCACCAAGTAACCTGGGCAACACTTCCATTTGATAAGTAGTACTGGTTTGTTAAGTGGATAATCTCTCTTTGAATTACTCCTTGCTATATTTAGTTTGCTACCAACACCTTACTTGTATGTCATGCAGTTTTTCCCTGGCTGAAGTGTGATGCAGCAATGTCACCAGTGAAATGTTGTCTCAGAGCACCCTGAGAAATACAAATCTAGAGGATTTGGGTTTCTGTCATTGTGGGGATGTCTTAAACCCATCATTTCCCTCAACCTTTCTTTTTTTTTTTCTCTCTTGCAGCTCTTTTCACAGAGGTGCCACACGACATCACGACGCAGAGCGGTGAGGATGTAGAGATGGCTTGTTCCTTCCGTGGGGCGGGCTCGCCCTCCTACTCCCTGGAGATCCAGTGGTGGTACATCAAGGACCACAGAAACTGGCAAAAGAAGTCAGCCCAGATCACCAATTATGTAAGCTGCAAGGGAAAACAGTTTTCTTTTGTTGTTTTTGTTGAATGTATTGATGCAGAGATACTTATAGCCCAGAGGGTACTTTTACAGTTGCCAAGGGAAAGCGCCACTGATTAACTCATCTAAACTTAACTTAAAAAAAGGAACTGAGATTTGATTAAATATATTCACATATTTGAGTTAAGAAAAAACAGAACAGCCAAATAGCATCACAAGTTGCTGTGAAGCTGTTCTTAAATTAATTAACTATTTATATACCTGATGTTAGGTAGCAAAATAGTTAACTTAAAATAATGAATTAACTTTTTTAACTTATGATATTGTTAGCTAAAAGTAATATGTAGTAGTAGTACTACATATAACATACATATAACATACATACATACATACATAGTACTACATAGTACTCCTTTCACTCTCACTAATAGTACTTGAAATAATTAGCTAATAGTGGGGATGTGGATTATAGATGACAAATCAAAATAACATGAACACTGACAATTTACAAAAACATGAAAAACCTTCTTTATTGAACAAGTATTGATCAACATCCAGTTTTTAATCCATTCATAAGAACACATAATTTGAACATGGAAGGTGTCGATAAATGTTTACATAAGATATGTATGAAGACAGTACTTATTTTTATTTCTGTGTAATGTAAAAACATCTCGCCCCTCCCACTGGGATTATAAGACATTATAAGAAGGAAAGAAATGCTACAAGCTCAATCTTTATCTTTATTTAGTCTCTAACTGGCTAACTCACAGTAAATGTATATGTGAAGAGGTGACTCTGTCCAAACTATATATTTAGTGGTTCCCAGTAAACATGAGTTATCAGTGAGATGCTTTTGCTCGTTAGTGCTTTAAAACATTATCTTTGACAGAGCTATTTATTTATACGTGGTTTCTGAGAGGGCTTTTTTTTACCCAGTAAATCATATTTCTTCTTCAAGGTTAAACCTTTCTTTTTTAACTGTTAAGTAGACTTATAAATCCCATTGTCAGTTTCACAGTATTTTCCATTTTCGGTTTTTGCATTTCAGTTTATTTGGACACAACTGTTGGACTGAACCTAAAGCTCATTGTATACCAGGCAGAGGGAAATGCAGTATTAGCAATGGCAGAAATCCTCTAGGACGGAAAACGAAGGGATAATTGCTGATTAGCATTTGCCAGCATTGGGGGAACAGGTTGACTCTTTCCCATCATGGGGGAACTCAAGCTCCCATGTTGTGCCTCTAGACACTATAATTGGCACTGAGAAAGAAATAGATTTCAAATTCTGTCTGCTCCATGCATAATTCATACCTATGCCCAAAAGAATACCTCTGTGCCTCTGCATACGCATTCACAGACACACTCCTGCTCAGAGGCCTACGTGCTTGGTGCTGTAGAGTGTGTGCTCATACACACACACATTTAAGCATGCACATGTTAAGCGTGCATACATAAGTACACACAAACACAGATAAAGCTCAGAAAATGAAGTTTTGTTATAAAACTGCTGAAAACATCAAACATGTTCATCCACGATAATATTTGGCTGCTATGAGTCGATGCAAGCAATGAGGTTTCTTTTTGCTTTTTTGCTTTTTTGCTTTTTTTTTATTAGAAAAGTGATAGTGCAGCTATTTGTTTTTGTTGCTAACACATCATCCATATTTCTGTGCAGGTTGTACCCCTGGAGGAGACGTCCAAAGATGCCACCAAAATTAGTGTGAGTTTGATCTGACATCAACTGTCAGCAAGCACAAAGCAACTTCATTGTCAAAGAAAACTAACAGACTTTATTTGTTATCATGAATATGGAAGACGTCCAAGTTTTTGCATGTTTTATTTCTATTTATGAATGGAGTAAATAAAAAGCAACAGTAAATTTTAAACAAAATACAGAAGCAAACATCTCACCTCACTGCGCTGCAGAACAGAGAGGTTCAGGAGATTCTTTGTTCCCACTGCCATCAGGCTATACAACACCTCAGCCATTTATTTATTATCAACTATTGTTATTGTACAATGAGCTAATGGACACATGGATTTACCCTAGGGGATAAATAAAGTATCTATCTATCTATCTATCTATCTATCTATCTATCTATCTATCTATCTATCTATCTATCTATCTATCTATCTATCTATAAAGCTAAGAAAAAGTATAGTCAAGAATTATACAGGATGTGTTGAAGTCATGTAATATTTACCATAAGGCTTTAAATAAGTGTACACCATCTTTTCTCCCCACTAGGTGGTAAAAGTGGCCGGCAGCAACATCTCCCACAAGCTCCGTCTCTCCAGCATCAAGCCATCAGACGAAGGCACATATGAGTGTCGTGTCATCGACTTCAGTGGCACCGTGGCCCAGCACCACCGGGTTTCTGCCTACCTCCATGTGGAGCCAGAGAGGAGTCAGGGGCTGGATAACGTCCGGCTGCAGGAGCCAGGTAACCGGCCGCAGAGGCACCACCCGCACCCCCACCACGAGACAGAGGGCAGGGAACTGAAGAGGAGATCAGCTGGCAGCAACACTGACTGTAATGAGAGCTGTGTGCTTTAGACCTGGCGGCCTGTCTGCCTGTCTTATCTGTCTGTCTGCATGGTCATGACTTATCTCTGACGAGGGACGGTCATCAACACACATGTCACCACAGAGCCGAGGTGTCGATCTTAAATGGACCCTTTGTGTTTCATGGATTCATTTGTCTTTGTCTTTAATATTGTTATTTGGATGCCAATGCTGTTGAATGCCAATAAAGGAGTATGATTTTATTGAAAGTATATATGATTATGTTCTTTTCATTGCTTTGTTTTTTTTGTCTCTGTGCTTTTTCTTATTGCATCAATTTTATGTTAATGTGCAGCAAATCTATAATAGCAAAGGGGCGCTTTTATTTTGTTATTTTGTTTGAGGAGGACTCCCTCAGTGGCTGAACACCTGGAACTTTTCCTCACAAAGTTACAGTAAAACACAGTAGAGTCAGAATTATTATGGCTTACCTAAATAATAAACAGAGCAAAGTTGGGTGTTCACTGAAGCAGACGCAGAACACACCCAGTGCCACTTCTCCTGTCTTTTATTAAAATATGCCAAGCTGCAGTATTTCAATGTAAATGCTTTTCAAGGAATAAAGAATAAATTAAGCTCTTTTTTTTTATTTTGATTTATTTGATTTAATTTTGATTTATCTGAAATCTGTAGTCTTTGTTTAAACTTTTTCACGGAAACCTATTTGTGTTTAGCTTTCTAAACCACAACTAGAATGTTTGTTAAAACACAGATGTATGCCTTCATCACACCAAGATAATATATATAGATTCTCGTGTATATTCCCACCTGGCACTGTAGACTTTTACTGTTGTCGCTAAAATGAAGTTTACTCTGTGCTACTTAACCAAATGACTCAAGAAACACAACTATGGTATGTTAATCACTCCAAATTTTTGTCATCATTTTCTCAACCACAATATACATTTTTTGTCTTAAGCTTTTACATGTTTATTATCTCCTCTTGATTGTGTTTGTTCTAAGTGCTGCTGTTTGGTATTTGTTCTGTTAAATACATTCATTTGAAATGAATATGGTGTTTTTTTCCATGATTCTGCTTTTGTCTTCTATAATATATTAAATTAAAGGTGTTCAAGCTGATTGGTGATGAAGTGCATACAAGGAAACACATGAAGGAGCCTCAAAGTCAACATTGCTGTGAGATAAGGACTGAATCATGTTGAAGAATTGATTTCTCGTGTTGAATTAAAGGATTAATACAAAGGACAGAAACCCTAACCCTAACCATTGAAGCATAATAAAATACTCACATGTAATTTAAGTGTCAAAGGAAACTTAGTTTTGATGTAACACAACAGACTCTTAGATGGATCTATTTTGTTAAATTTGATATACGTTTATTTAATTTCTTATTCATCTTAACTATGTATTAGAAGCAGAAACTTTTATGTCCTTAATTTAAATTGTGTGGTAAAATCACATTTGATAGTGTTTAAACTAATACATATTGTGACTGGGAGCTTCCTGCCAAAAGTGGGAAAAGGCAAACAAATTTCCTTGTATCTTGTATAGGATGATAGGAGGGTAGGTAATTCAGTTTTGATTGTCTATATAAAATGTTAACATTAGACAAAAATGATATCATCAGTGAAACATTTGTCTGTTGCTGCCAGCTACTGTACAACATAAACAATGCATTCTGCAGTCGGCTTTCCGACTTCCTGTTCAGAACTTGGAGGTTTTGTTTCTGACCAGCAGAGAGCAGCATTTCCTTTATCCTTCACTAAGTCACACATGCACAAATACTTGCATATACACATGCAGTAGGTAGTAATAGGAAAATATGTTTTTTACCTTAAGTTGGTGATTTGTTTTAGGCTATAGGACCAACACAACTTGTATAGAGTAGCACTGCAGCTTTGTTGTGAACAAAAGAGTTTTTGACTCCAGTATTACAGTCAATTCCAGCGGTAGCAGAATCACATTTAAAATGTACATCACTAAATCTTAATCACTGAAAAATTGCCACACAGTGTGCGTTGCCTTAAGAGCATAATTCCTTAATAACATCTATAGTTGAGATCACAACAGCAGCAACTGAGACACTATTCCTGCCAGTAGTCAGTGTCCTCTGCAGGACGGAGGATACATCCAGCAGCACATACACTGGCTCTGTGCACCGTAGGAGAGTGGTGGCTACAAAAGGTGCTAAAACAAGATTCCAATTATTTCATTTCTGCTGTTGTTTCACTCAATTACACTTGGATTTTACTGTAAAGTCAGTATCATCCCCTCTGGTCATTTGGAGGCATTAAGGACACTGGCACTGAAGGTGTTAAGACTCCCAGGAAAGGCTGGTGAAGGGGCACAGATGTCAGAGGGCAGGGGTCACAGTAGACAAGGAAATTGAGATAAAGACGGGTGCCATTTCTTTCCGTCCCTCTGGCTTAGAACTACAGGCAAAAAAACGAAAATGAAAGATAGAGCACAGGGAGGAAAGATTTATTGATCTACTTGGCAGAAAAATGAAAATACATGCAATATTATATAACCTAGATTAGGTTTCGTCTCAGTGAGTATGATCAGTGGTGAAGGATCTATACTGGACAGGAGAGGGGTTTATTAAGCTCTTTAAAGAAAAACACCTTGCATTGCAGTGGCACTGCAGGGTTATTAAATGATCTTGTGTCCAGATGCTTCATTAGTTTTTCTGTAGGGAGAATGTGCAAAAAATACAGATTGTTGAAAATAAAAAAAAAACCCACACATTGCATTCAGGCTCTCAGTCATTTGTCAAACAGCATCAAAGATTGTGTGACGGCAGTGTGGCTGGTTGAAATAATATTACAAAATAATGAGACATGTGTAACAGCTCTCTTAATTGTAGCACCTCGAAAGTCTAAAAATAGTACATGGTACTTAAAATACTACTCATCACTTCAGAGCATGAGAAGAAATAGTTCAGATTCTCTTTAAAACTTTTGCATGCACATATTTAATTCGCCTTAATGAGTACAAAAAGTTCTCATGTCTCGTTAAAATTTTTTTGGCTCTGAATAAAAATAGATTCACATGTGGCAATCAGAAATATACAATGAGTTTGCAAAGTATAAGAATAGACAAACATTTTATATGTTAAAAACTGTGCAAAAGAATGCTTTGCAAAATGGTGGAGGAATAAACAGTTCTAATAAAAAAGAGTGAGAATAGTGCTGTCTAATGGACAGTAAAGGCTGGAAAGCTCTATTTTCCAATAATGACGTTTCTGTAGCCCTTGACGTGACACAGCTTGTTGCTGTCGAAGTCGACCACCAGCTTTCTCAGCCCAGAATGGGTGGGAGTGAAATATATTTTCACCTTGGCATCTTCCCCTGGTCCCACTGAGGAGGACAGGCTGTGGGATAAATATTTAAACATTAATTTTGTGGCACACGCAGGGGGGGCTTTATCACAATCTTCAGACTGATCGCATAAATATTTAGACAATTGATTACCACTGACAAGGACAGCTCTGACTATTTATGGAGACGGTGCTGAGATGGTGAGTGAAGGTTAGACATAGTTTAATAAGTGTTTCATGAACTTTTTAATCTACCAGAGCTCTGGCCAAAAAATAGTGCTGATCATGAAAATGCATCATGTTCATGCAGTCAGACATCCAAAGCTGCACACAGTAAAGTACTTGATTGGCTCCTCCTTACTTTACTCACTGAATAAGATTAAAGTATTTAGGGAGATCATTGTTGAGTAATAACAAGCGGACAGTTCATCCAGTGCATTCTGTCTACATCCACTGCTTGCTCCAGCAAACCCCTGTGCTGCATGTTTTCTTTACCAGTGGGCTCTTGTCCTGACTAAACAGCAGCACATCCAGCCAGACATCTGGACGAGACCGTGACCAGGACAAGAAATCATAAAACCAAATAATACATATCTCATAGTTTGGAATTCAAATGGTGATGAAACATTTCCATCACACAGGATCATATGATGTACAAAAGTCCTGGTATGTATTTTCTTTCTTTTCTGCTTCTTTGTCTTGAAGAAAAAAATATTCAAATGATTGAATAAGGGAGAAATTGAGGATCATTATAATGTGTATCCTTGTGTCTACTGAGGAAAATGTCACAGTTTCTAATTTATGTCTGGTCAGTTGGCGCTCTGTGTTAGAGAAGAAGGGCAAACTCAAAAGCTGGATCACGAGACACTCATACCTCTCAGAGATGACGTTTCCCCCGGTGAGGTTGGCCCCCTCGATGCTGAAGCAGCAGTTCTCCAGCGGCTCTGGCAGCGGGTTTTGGAGGGTGATCTCTGCAGCCAGTTTTCGATTCTCCTTGGGTTCACCCAGGATCTGCAGAGCAAAGCCACCATGAGGTATTAGGTAATGAAAGTCTCAACGTAGTTACTATACAGTTTTGCTTGGCCAAAGCTCTTTGAATACACAGGAAGAGGCACTGATTTCACAGTATACAATCGTGCAGCTAAGACAAAGTATTGTAGGTTGAATTTGCCTTAAACTGGACATTGTATATGTAATTCTTTGCCATTGTTGTACCATAATAATACGTCCAGACTGGTTAAAACGTCCATATCTGTTGTTGCAGGTTACTGTACTCACTCTGACTTTGATTTCAGGATTGTCCAGCACAATGTTTCTCACTGTCAGTATTGTCTCTTTGGTGGTGTAGTCCAACAACAGAGCTGCCAGCCGGATTAAGTTGTCCTCAGTGACTAGGCCACCGTACTTAGAGTAGTTCAACCTCAGTGGAACCCGCCTCTCTAGAGGAACGTGCACAACATATTTAAAACTCACGTGAAGTGTATAAAGCGTCTGCATGTGAACACCACACCGCGACGTGTCTTACCTGCTCCTGGTGCGAGTTCTACATTGAGCAGATCTTTAAAGCCACAGTTCCCTCCCAGGAACCCATTGTAGGTAACAGCGCAGGATCCAAAGACCAGGCGGCATTTCTTGTCGCTTTGCGTGTTGTTAGTAACCACGGCAAACACGTCAAAGTCGCAGCCCTTCCTCATGTCTGACGTCACCTTGACGGCGAGGTGTAGGCCTTGATTCTGCTGCTGGTGGAGCAGCTTGTTTTGGTGGTCGGCCTTCTTGAAAACCTCCCGCTCTTCATCAGAACCTAGCAATGTGGATGCAACAAAATCACACACTGAATAAGAGAAGTCTTAAATTTGCCAAAATTAAGTTTTACCATCCAGAACACTCCACTTCCATAGTATATTCAACATGTCAAACGGTCTGTGTGAGTAAAGCAGCATAAACCTGACCTTCTTAAACAAAGGCAGTTAAGACTTGAGTTTATGTACATTAAGATTAACACAAATGCTGATAAGAAATGAAGGAATTTACACAGCAAGTGACCTTGGTGTGACCTGCCGGTATGCAGAGGAAGTTTGTATATACTGGAGGTAAAAGCATAGTGTGACATCTTGAGAAATATACGTTGAGTTAGGTTTGTCATGTACGATATACAGTAGCGTACGCTGTGGTGTCCTCTACCTTCAGGATACTTGTAGAGATGAGTGATGTCCTCTCTGGCATCACTGCCCACGCTCTTTGTGCTGATTTTCTGGCCTACGGCTACAGTGTTAGTGACTCTTGATGTGCTGCCATCTTTTTTCTTCATGAAGGTGATGGCGTCAGCGTTGACCTCAGCAAAGACAAATGGGGCATCATACTTGAACATGAGCTCGCCCTCCTTGATGGCCCTGACAGGGACGGGGCCACAGCAGTACACTCCTGAGGGAGGATGTGACAAAACTGATATTATAGATCCACCTTGGTGAACAGAAATATCATCATGGGTGCGCTGGTGCAGAGCGGTTGTTACCTTCACTTTTCTCCTGCGGTGTAGGGTCACTGGCCTGCCAGCCATTAAAATCTGATTTAAGGTCAGGCCTGGTCATCCAGCTCTCCACCCAGCAGTGATAGTTCCTACAGATACAACACACACCATCAGCTTGATCCCTACACTTAAACTTTCTGGCTGACTTAAGTTAAGTCGGAACTAAACTAAACCTCTGATGTGTAAATCTTTACTCTCAGGGTTTGTATAAACATCATTTCCCTTTCATAAATAATCAAATTAGGGGGGTGTTACAAACTCATGGGAGGTACATCTGATCAAATACTGTTCTGTTTATTCCCCAAGAAAGCGTTCATTAAATCTATTTGAGGTAAAGTACAGAAACTAAAATACGAATTAAACAGCTTTCAAAGTTTCTTACTGTGATTTTTAAGTAATTCACAGTCGTCCTGACAATCTCCTTTACACAAATAAATTTGTCTTCGGAGTTTATGTGCCTTTTTTCTTCACAATATGTAGAGTTACTACATTCCACGTAAATTAATACTAAACAGCCCTGCCTCCTACTGTAATATTACATACCTAAAACATATGTGTACTTACCAGATCATTTCTCTGGACTGAATGAGTTCTCCATTTTCGTTGATGAAGCGTTCAATCACCAGGTTGCTGTTGCTGTCGTGGGCTGACAGGTAGTTGGTGACGACTCTGCAGGGAATGCCAAGGGCTCTGGAAACTGATGGGGTATAAAAATAACTTACATACGTGTTGTGATACTCTAAGGAGGAGCAAAACCTATATCATAAATGTGTGTGTACATATATGGTGTTATGTTGCTATGTTGTCTGTTTGAGACAAATCACGTGTGTTTTCTAGTGATAGGCCAACAAGCTTTGCTCTGTCATATCTTACTTGAGCAGGCCACTGCAGCGAACACCCAGCACTGTCCGTAGCGCACAGGCTGACAGGCTTGTGTGTCCCAGTTGCGCAGAATCTCCACACTGCCCCTCCAAAACATGGGGCTCACACCTCCTTCATAACCATCTGTCCATTTTCCCAGCAACACCCCTCTGTCGTCATTACAATTCACCTGACAGGCAAAGGAAAGGACTATAAATATATACATATTTAATATAGGAAATACAAGATTTTTTTTCTTTGGTAACACACACTTATAGAGATATCTACGAAGCATCAGAAATGCATATTTGGCTTACCATGGCACTCAGCACTCTGGACACATAGATGGGATTTCTCCTCCCTGAGCAGTCTTTGCCAGGATTCCTCTGACATTTAGGATTCATATCCAGGATCCTCAGACAGACATCAAGAATTCCACCTTCAAACTGAACAAAAAAGTATTACTGCACATCAGTTGTTTGTCATGATTCACCTTTTAATAAAAACAGGTGTAAACACACAACAAATTAGATGCTTAATTCTGACATTCGTCACAAATAATGCTCTGCTAATGCTAATGCCAAGCTAATTAAACTGTATCAGAAGAAAAGGCTGTAAAAAGATAACACTCCCCTCATTTATCAGAACAACACTGATTAGTGTCAGATATCAACATCTCAGTTAATTTCTGCAGCAAATGTTCAGAAATTACTGTATGTTATGAGTTATGCAATGACCAGTAACCACTTGATAAGTGGTTATTTCCCTGTTATCAAGATAAACTCTGTCAGAATGTTGGCTGGCCTCGTTGACTATGTCTGTGTGATTAAGTGAAGCTGACAGTATCGCTGTTGGTGTTGGTACCTGGCCAAAGTTCCAGGGCAGGGGTATGGGATGTTTGGCACTGCCTCGAAAGATGATTCCATCCTGGGACAAGACATATTCTGCCAAACTCTGCTCATTCTCCATGTATACTGTATCACCTGCAGCCAAGAAACATAACAAACATGTCTGAGACTGCTCTAATACATGTCCTAATTGGTATATTACTGGTATAGTGTTGGTCTTAATTCCCTGGAAACTAAAAGCTCATATATTCTCACCCTGCAGGTGATAAGAGTTTAGTCACTGCATTTCAATGAAATTTGAAACTTCCACTTTACTTAAAGAGAATCTGGTTATCTTAGCTTAGACTGAAAACAGGGGGAAACATCTCCTTAATTAGCATATTATATTTCATTTGCATGTTGTCAGGCAATTCCAGTCTTTATGCTACGCTAAGCGAACCAGCTGCTTGTGTAGCCTTACATTTACGAGATAGATATGAGAGTGGTGTCGATTTTCGCATCTAACTCTGGCATGAAACATGATCATCAAAACCCTTTGCAGTCTAAAATCCCTCACACAGGATCCACTGCATGACAGCTTGAAGTATGGTCTGTTTACCCACCTGGGCACCAGGGGTTAAAGAGCAGGATAAACTCAATCCGCCCTGATCGCCCCAGGGTCAGGGTGTAGCGGCCTATAGGTGCATCAGGGGCGGAGCAGATGGACAGGGTAACCATGTCCCCAGGGGGGCTGATGACAGCGGCGCTCCAGCGGGAAGTGTCAATGTTGGCAGACAGACCGAAGGAGGCTCTGGTGCCATACTGCTCAGAAGGCTGAGGACCTGCATGTGACAGTAGTTAATATGGTTATAGCTCTGCATGTGGGAAGAAGCAAAGAGATTTTAGTGAAATATTTGTGTTTGGGAAATGGAAAATCACAGGATAAAGCCATTTTCACTGTTTTCTCTAACCATGCTACATTTAGTTGAAACATCTCAGGAATCTTATCATGCATGGTCAGTGTAACTGTATAATGGCCCCTAATTAAGACCAAAACTGGCTGGGATTCAAGTCTCACTCTGCGACCTCATTCACAGTCAAGTACTAGAGTTATGTAAACTTAAAATCATTTGTAAACTAAAGGCAGGTTGTTTGATCATTTCTCACTGGGTGGGATGAACGGTCCTCCTCCTATCCATTCAAATGTATTTGACTTTCAAAGGTTGATATTGTTATCTGTGATTATACACATGCTTTCCTGTTGGCAACCAACACTTCCTGTTTAAAGAGTTTGGGCAAGCAGCAGCTGTCTTATCAAACTTTACATGAGAAGTTTATCCAAATATCAAAAGAGGAGAAGAGTCGGATCATTTTCTGTGTTTCTCTAAGTTATTCTGGCAGCAGAAGCATGGGAATGCAGTAGCTGTCTGGGGCTCCCAATAATAATGGCAAAGTCTATCAACACCGGCAGTACTATGAGGGAGAGGCTTAGGTTAACAATGGAAACAACAACAGAACATTGTACAGTTTCATGTAATGAAACTCAATGTAAAAGCCAGTAGCAGATACACTGAACAAAAATGACCTTGTTTCCTTCCTTCCTCTCAATGAGAGGACATACTGTAACCACTGTGTTTTTTCCCTCATCCTCTTTTCATTATAAGATCATTATGACACACGTTTCATCTTGTCAAAGTGCTGCTTACTTACTTTTTCAGTCTAAAGGTTTTAATCAAGTACAAATGACCATTGGACAGAAACTTCAAAAACATCTGAAAGCACCTTAAAAACAGAAATGTGATAGTTTGTGAGGATGTAAGAGGGGGTATAGCTCAGTGGTAGAGCATTTGACTGCAGATCAAGAGGTCTCTGGTTCAAATCCAGATGCCCCCTTGGACTTGACAGATTTCACATCTCTAGCCTGTCTTTGAAATTATAGTTATTCCGATACAAATTCCTCTGAGACTCCCTAAAATACTAAATCGGGAGTCGGCGAGCATGTGAGTCTATGCACCTATCCCATACTGTGTAATGTACTGATAGACTTTAATGTTTCACATGCAGATAAAATGGCACTTATCCAGAAAATCCATTCTTTCTCGCCGCCCTAAAACAGTGGCCTACACAGGAAGTTGTGCTGCACAGCCACTGGCAGCCACTGTAAAAGAGCAACGAAGAATAATTGATTCCTTTAGCCATTGGTTAACTACTACCTATAAATTATTGAGAATTATTACATTTTGACTAAGTGTTTTTTGTTTTAATTGGTGCAGCCAGTAAGTGAGATACACAGCAATAAGCCTCAGCATTGGACAGCTTGCAGTGGTAGGCTACAACAGTTTTAAATTCTTTTTCCATATGTTGTAAAGAAAAGACCCAAAATGGACACTGTAAGCAGACTACTTGATTACTATAAGTGAATTATTTGAACAGCATTTGTATAGGAATGACTCTGTCCCAAGCATTTTGATCCATAGAAGCAGTCGATCACTGTAACCATGGTCACTATGAGCAGTACAAAAAGAGAGATTCTATGACATTCATGTATTTGTTCATGTTTTACAAAGGGTTTAACCTGAGCCATGCCATACAAAAATGACAGCAATTATATCACATCCATACAGGGATGGTAGAATACAGCTGTTAAAAACTTTTTTTTTAACACATTGGTATCGGATTGGTACTCGGAATCAGCCGATACACAAGTTCAGGTATCGGAATAGATATCGATAAGGAAAAAATGGGATATCTATCTATATTCTATATTAAAAATCCTTAAACCACTGTTGGATAAAATGCTGAATGCAGTTATTAAGTGTTATTTTAAAAAAAGAGAGTAGCACCTGTTTCTGCAACACAGTCAAGAGAGCTGACTCCTGGTTGATAGCTTGCAGAGCGAAGATACAGGCTGATTGTGAAGGGTTGTCCTCTCCTCACGATCAGACGATCTACACCGTTGAGATCAGTACGATGGTCGGTGTTGTTAAACTCACACTCCAGGTTCCAGCGTTCAATGTCCAGAGCTTAAAAGAAGAAAAAAAAACAAACTAAAATATAACCCAATAAAAGAGATTGATGTTATTCAAAATATACAGTACGTGCACATCAAGTATCATTCTTATGGATGAAATATGTGAGTTACTACCATGACTGTAACTAGAGAAATACTTGTTCTATTATTCAGTGTGTTACAGTCGGTTTTGTAAGAATTCTTGCAATTTTCTACAATTGTTATAAATGTGTTGTGAAAAAAGTTGCTCTATTTAGAGAAATAAACACTGAGCTAAACCTTACAACCTTGAAACCAAGGGAAGAATCTCCTCGGACAAAAGGCCAGGAGGTAAAATTATAGTTTTCTTTAAAACAAAGCTGAGGGCCATGATTGGTTGGTTAACCAAAGACAACATGACATTAACAAACCGGAAAGAAGCCATGGACAAGCTGGAGAGTCACTAATATAAGGATGAACATCAGGATGAGCATAGGGTCTGATACCAGATGCCAAGAAAAAGAGGCCTTAACACAGAACATCTGTAATGCATTAGTAATGTGTTTCACTTTCTTCCCACATTCCAATAAACCTACCATAGGTACAGAGCGAATAACTGATGAAACAAAAAATAATGATAAACAAATGATTCCTGCTAATTTCACTTTGACAACAGACTGTAGCAATTAAAAAGTATTTCAGTATAACCACTGAAACGTTGTAAAGTATATACATCTGTGTTTTGCTCCTCAGTCAGTGCCTTGGTTCTTCTTTTAATTTAACAGGAAGATGATGTATATGCTTATGAAACACTTAAAAATGCCACAAGAAAGTCTTGGTGAAGTGCAAGTTGTAAAATGTATAGCTGGTGTAGGATGAGGGATGTTTAATAGAATTTACAAGGTGTAACAATTACAAATGTATTTTTACAGCAGACTTGCGGTGAATTATCCAGGAAACCGTAGTTAATCAGATTCTAGATTTCCTCATGTTGTGGCTGTGAATGTGTTTTTTTTTGTTTTTTTTCCTGAAAAGTGAATTTATTTCCTTCCTACAAATTCAATTTCATAATGACTTCACTTTCCTGAGTGACTTTAAAAGGAGCTTGGTTAAATGTTTGTAAAGGGCTCATTATTTTATCTTCAAAGCCACTACACATTCTGTGGACTTTGGAATAAAAACCGTGGACTGCAGGACACTCACAGTCATTTATGGTAAGATAATTTTGGTCTCATGGAGCTTTCTGTATGATTTTAACAAGAGGGGAACACAGAGAGTCAGTCACTGCTTGTGAGGTGTGCAAACACACAACCACCTCCTCTCTCCAGTGTGTGTTGTGACTAACAGACTCCCACCCTTGGATTTCCTGTTTGTAGGAAAACTTAAGGTCCTCCTATATAATGCCTTCAAGGTCCTCCTGCTGCTGGCTAACCACTGGCAGGGCTGCTCCGTGTCAGGAGGTTAACATCCCCCCATTTACATGAGAAAAACCCTGGAAACAAGCATGAAGTGATGGTGTCAAGGCTGGGCTAGACTTAAGTAAACAAAGACTAAGCTGCAAAGACTTCCTGCTGTTTTACATGAAGTCCATGAGGGATCATTCCTCAGTACTTCTCAGGGCTCTGATGTTTTACTGAAATCGACCTTTGCTCAGTTCCTAATTGAAGACGTTAGTGTATCCAATTGGGGCAAATGCCTTAAAGATGACAATGCTAACTATTCCGGGACAGCTGGAGATTGTTGTAGGCAGAGGACTGTTCAGGCTGTTCATACTCACCAGCCATTTAACTCACATTTGATCTGTGCAAACATCAAGTGTCAAGTATGAGCATCGCACGGGAGCACAGATGCTATTTAACAGTTTATTGAAGAACCAGCAGGAGAAATAAATATCTAACATGGTTCCCAGAAGTTCCAATTTTTTCTCCTTTTTCTTTGGAAAACAGAGGAGTTTTGCATAAATCACACCCAAGTGAGGCAAGAGAGCCCCATTAAACGGTTCCTCATCTTACACAATGTGAAAACAATTAACATATTAAAGTCTGCAACCCAAAATCTTCAGAAACAACAGAATAAGGGTGCAATGACGTAATTCCTTTGGATTTGCTCTCAACCCACAGTGCCAGATGGTATGCATGTGTGGTGTCAAGCCAGACTCAATACATTTCATTGTTTTACAGTTTATTCTATAGGGTCACATAACTTGTAGCAGCCCAGTGCTCTAATATGAATGCAGGGGGGAGACTTTCCTCAGCCTTGGCCCTGCCTTCTTCACTAAGCTTTACATACTGCACACACCCATGCTTCGCTCCCACTCCACCAACCATGACCCACACTGCAGAGGGACTGTCTCTGTGGCAGCACTGAGCCCAGCATTAGCCTAATAAGGAAATTAAAGCAAAATGCCACTCATGTCAACTGGGCAGACTATTTTAACCTTGGAAAAATAAATATGCAAACTCCCATCTGAAGAAAAAGAACTTTTCAGTCTTGCAGGTAACACCCATGCTGAATTCAGAGCTTCATCACAGGCGCTTTCAATTTAAAATGAATGTTTTGTGCATGTTTAACAGTAGGAAAACAGGTGATGCTGATTCATCGATGTGCTGTTTATTCTAAAAACTAGGATTTCCAGCAAGTTTTGCTTTATATTTGTATTTCGTTGCTCCTACAGACTGACCTTTCCTGTGAATAAGAAGATTAAAATATACCAACTGGCAAAAACTGTACATTTTTTGTAAGATTCAGACTAGGTGGTTCCAGTTATCCAATACACACACACACACATACAAAAATACATTGAATCTAAAATAGAAACCTGTATGTCTGTTCTACTAAAGAGTGGCTAACAGCCCTCCTTAGATATCTGTGGTATGCTTCACTCACAAGTCAACAACAATTTCAACTTTTAGAGTGGATACAGAGCAAACCTGAAGGTTTGACCAGTTTCTTGTCAGGGATGTTTTGAATGCCTTTACAAGAGTTTAAAGCAAACTGTTTGTAGGGTGCAGTCTGTGCGCTTGTAAAGATAGCAGCAGTTAAACGGTGGAGGCTCCAACTGCTCTCAGCTGTTATTGTAAATGTTAAGGTCCCAGGGCAACAATAATCTGTTCAAACATGAGGGTGTAACATTTTTCAGATGCACTGGACGTCGGATGTCTGATGAAACGTCTGCTTGAAAGAGCACCCAATCCACCAACTCAGGGTGATGATATGTGAAGACTGTGACAACTGTACCCTTGCAACCCTCTCAGCATGATAGTGACAACGATATACTGCAGTGGAAGCCTGACCTTCCTGGACTTTCACAGTTCATCATAAAAATACACTGACAGTGAGCAGCATTTAAAGTTATATTAACACAAAGAACCATATTAGGAAATGCTTTGAAGAAAACATCAAAGCAAAATCCAAGGGGAACTTACTTGAATACATTACACTGTGTCACTGAATCGAAATTTATGTATTTTTAACCATTTAGTTAGTTATAAACTGTTATTAAATAGCAAAGAGTTTCCACTTCTTTTTTTTTTAAACACAGGTAATTTATGGTGTGCTTTAAAATAAATAGAAGTCTGTGTGTAACTTACCTTGTGCCATGACTGCTGCTGTTTTCTTTGGCTAAACTGTGTCTTCAGTGAATCTTCTGCTCAGACGAGAATCTCGTGTCTAACCCTGTCTGCCCGTGCATATCTCGGTCTGGCTAATATAGTCCTCCTTCTGCCAGTGAGTCCGAGGGTGGGCGTGACGCGACCCTCCCCTACACCGGAGGGGCCGTGTGCGTGCACCCACGTGCACGCGAGCGCACATATGTTGCGTTGTTGCATTACACATTCTGTGCATGATTCATCCGAGTGTACGTCAGATACAGTAAGATCTATTGCGGGGTTACCAAATCATAAGTGCTCTACCTCTCTGTTTGGCGGTGGAGCCAGTAGATTTCCAAAAGGTTTTAATGTTTTGATGATGAGTCAAGGGAAAACAACAGCAGGAGAGAAGCAGCTGAGTGGTATGCAACGGTGAATGTTGGGTTCAAAAAGTTACCTATCAATCAACTGCTGTTGTATTTTAGTTACACTCAAATCTTATCAGGGCACTTGAAATGTCGTATTTTTCTTATTGTCAACAGAAGAGCAGAACCGATAATGCAGTATATTCAGGGGCATAACACAAAGAATTGGCCTGTGCGCATCTGCAGTCTCAGTGGGCCCTTTGTTTAATGATCCATTGCCTCTCCTGTATGAATAACTAAATCAATAAGTCTAAGCCTATGGATCTGTAGTGGTAATCAGTAGTGTTTTAAACAAATTGTAAAAAAATTCTCATCATCCTGTGATCATTGTGTGAAGGTTTCTATGTGAGTTTTAAGAACATTACAAAATGTTAATTACGTCAGAGTTCGTGGGTCTTCATTATATGCTGAGCATAAGACAAAGATGGAGGGCCATCTTACTCTGGCCTCTACACTCAGAAAGGATTTTCCTTCACTGTATGTCATAATAAATAATAATATAATAATAAAATAATCGAATGAGATTTCACTGGAATCATGTTTTATTTGCAGAATTACGGTGAATTAGTGTTGCAATAGTAAAAGTAAAATGCATAGTAAAACATACAAAATAGGTAGCCTTGAACATTGCAATCACTATCAATCGATTGACTGATCCTGATATTGATAGACATATTAAACAACCTTTCCAATGCTGCTGAAGGTTTATTTCCATTAGCAAAACTCATCAAAACACTATAGTAAACTAATCATCCTCATGTCTTCAACTGGTTGATTGTCAAGCAATTTATTCTATTTAATTACAGCATTAGTTTACTTAATACTAATAATGCTTATATAATGCTAATGATATCAAATTTCAAAATTACAGATAAAAACAAGGCATTTGAGGGCCCCTGGTAACTTAGTGCCATTATGTTGCCCCTGAGTACATTGAACCCATTAACTGCCTTTGTAACCACATGTGCCAGTGTTGACAAGAAATTAGTTTAAAAGACATTAGTGAGCCACACCTTTGCACTGGGTGATATGTCCTTTAATTATGATAAACAGGATTTTTCATAGTAGTACTTTATTTTGAGTTAACCCCCCATACTCCCCTGCTATTTCAGATATTCACTAGCTTTTAGTAACCCAAAATAGTCCCCAACAAATGTATTCTTTGAATAACAGTTGGGCACTGTAATTTATAATGCCCAAATATTATGTATCTGTCCCTTTTGCACATATAAAAGACAGATTTGAGCCTTCAGTAGGAACCAGTGATTTTACTGCTGAGAACTGATGAGAAAAGTATTGAATACTTCTTGTCTAAGAAGGGTTTAAATCTGTAAGTCGCGTCTACTACTGAGTTAACTTAACCCCACATGTGCTTTATAAACTACACTTCAAACCTCCTTTGAGGCTACAACAGAGCATCTTCTCCATCACAAAAAAAATTGTCTTTGTACATAATGAGGTCAAGAAGGGACTGTATGCACAGGTCCAAGCGCACAAAAGGACGAATTGTACAAGCAGCATTTCAAATCAAAGCAAATTGGTTTCTTCTTCTTTGGAAAAACTACAGTTTTTTGTCCTGTGCGCAAGACAACAAGTACAAATTATGCAACAAAAATGCAAATGTCAGTATAGAATTTGTAATTATAACTATGTCAGTAAAAGCAGAGGATGAAGTCAGTCATATGGTTTGAAGTGCTCTCGGCAGACTAGTTTTAACTACAAACATGAGTCTTGGCTCCAGAGTTGGGCATTACGTCAGAGAAGTGAATTCAGTGATTAACAGAAATGAAACCAAAGCCAGAGCTCTGTCCAAACCTGCACAGTGGAAATGACTGAGAGTCTTTGCCAAGGCAGGCTTGGCTACTTCAGAGTGAATGTGTCATCTATCACCTGTACTCACTTCCAGGTTAAATAATAAACGTTTGGCTGTTTAAAAAAAAAAGGGGGGCGGGGGGATTTCAGTCAAGAGTGCCAGCGTTAGAGTTATGATGATGGCAAAAGAACAAAATTGAAAAGACAGCGGAAACAGTGGAACACAGTGGTTTTTAGAGTAAAATCCCCTGAAAATAGATCTTAAATATACAATTAAAAAATAATGAAGACAGCTCTATCAATAATAATTAAAAAATTCACACTGAATGCAGGACTACTGTTGCTTGTGGCAAAGGCAACTTCTTTTCTTTACGCCAGACAGTGACTAATGTAATAACTAATAACTAATAACTTGAATTAACGGGAATTAAAAGTTCCAGATTTCAGCTTTATCATATTTTCCCTCCTGGTTCTTGTTTTTCGCTGACTCACATGCTGGGTCTGTAAGTTCTGAAGAAAGTTTCACAAAATGGTTAAAGGGAAATATGATTATTTTCACATATTGCAGCATAAAACATAAATCAGCTTAAGATTTATTTTTAAATACCACTGTTGTTAGTTCCAATAAATGTCTGTCTAATGCAGATTAGTGACTACAGCGTTTCCTTTTCTGCACTGTTTATGTTAAGTATAATGGTTTGTATTGAGACCAGAACAAGGGATTCTCTACAGTCTGTGTAGAGAATTAAATACAACCTTTAATGAAATACTCAAGGAAAACATGGATGATACTATTGTTATGGCTACATCTGTATTATATGTTCCTTTCTAAGCTATTTTTGAACTGAGGTTGACATTAGTGTTAATTCAAATATTATGTTTTCAAATCTAAAACTGGCTGTAAGTGACGTTTATTGTAAAAACACAGATAAAGACAAACACTTCATTACTGCAAATATTCTGTATTTCAAACAGAAAGCCATACAATTGTTACATACATCAATATCTTCATAGCAGTAACGTGAGTTTATACAAAACTGTTAAAAAAAAGACAGAGTGAATGTAATTTTTTTTCAGAGAAAATAAGTAATTAAGTTTGATAAATCTGTACAAAAGGCAATACATTTACTGTAGGATGTTATTTATTGTTTTTTTATTCTACCACAATGAAATTAGCCACGTTTTCAAACTGCCGTGTAGTGTAGCATTTTGTTATAACATGTAAGCATAGACACAAAGACTCTAGCAACTCTATGATCCTCCAAATGATCTATGAAACTAGACACACCATGCAAAGTCATGTACATATATCGACATTTTTCAGACCCTTCCTTTTAGTGGTGAGATTAAACATGTATTTACAGAGTGGTAATGGATTATTACAGTAACTGCTTGTATAAAAGGGTGTCTGTTTAAATAGTTTCCTCTTTCACGCAGACATTAGCAGACTTCTCTCGGCTTTTCTTGGTTTGCCTCAGATCTGCAGAAAAAAGTGAAATCTTTTAACAAACTTTTCCTTCTCACAGCAGCACAGTTTATTATTAGTATACACTTTATAACTGTAAAGTAATATTTAGATTATGTATTAGGTTAAGAAGGATAGGTGGTATAGAATTGCACTTTACTCACCTTGTACCGTCTCTCACAGGTCAAACCTCAGTGGATCTTCCAACGCTGGTGTTCTGAACCTGAGGGATTCATGAAAACATTATCAATTCAATATTAATCATAGCAGATGATTGATAATGGACATGAGGAAATACAGCAAGCACAGGGAAAAAATAAGGGAGGGCAGAGATAGTTTACTTGAGTGTGAAAGTGATGAATGACTCTGGGAGTAATTTACAGTTGTATTAAGTGCTTTGTGTTTTCCAGTGCTTTTAACCATACAACCAACAATTACTCAGTTACTGGTTATGAGATTTGTACCGCACCTTGCCACAGGGGAGATCCTTGGCCTGGTACTGTGGTTTGGGTTTGGGCTTTGGTGCAACTGGTGGTTGGGTTTTCTCTGGGGATCCTGCCAGAGCATTTGGTTTGTGGAAAGCAGCAGAAGTTTCAGCTCGATGAGCAGCCGCAGCCCCCTTAACAGTGGTTACGGAGGCACAGACAGAGGAGGTGTCCTCCGCCTCTCCTCCGACAGCGGAGTGGTAGCTGTGACTGCAACTGCTGAAGCCGCTGACACTCTCTCCCGATGACTCGGAGCTGTCCACTGGAACATGGACACGACTTGATTATACACATGACAGTTGGATGTGTGAACAGATGGATGGTTAGTTATGAAGGAAAAATCCAGTCAATCAACCCACTATCAATCATTCAATCAACAAATGAATCAACAAACCTAAAACCATCCAACAACCCACTATTTACTGTAAAGTTGTGCATTGTCCAAATTGCCACTTACATATTAGGATCTGATTCCCACTCTCATGGTCGAGGTCATCTTCTTCCAGAGCTCCAGGGGGTGATACGTATCCTGCAAGCACCCCCATAACCACCCGCCGCTTTGGCCCACACCCATATCCCACAGGGGACAGGGACCCTCCTCCAGAGGAAGAGGAAGAAGATGTAAAGCTTCCTGAACCAACAGATTTTGGCCGACTCCCCGGGAGCCCGTCCTGTGCCCCACATGACCCCACAGAGGACAACACCTTGTTTTCTGCAGAGACTAGGTGGGAGTAAGTTTTATCAGAGGAAGCTTGATCCAGATGTTACAAAAACAATCACAATGAATAACTGAACTTTGACTGGCAGTATTTGCTCACCTCTTCCCATCAGCACATAGTTGACGGCTCTGTCGTTGATGGCTGCTTCACTGGGTTGGATGTCCATGAAAGGCTTGTTTCCGATACCCATGAACACTCGCTCCTGCATACGGACCTCTAAAAAACACACAAAATGAAACAATTTCTTTAAAATATTTCAAATGAAGGAAATGAACTGAAATGTGGCTGTTGGTACCTCTGTTGTGTACTGCCTGCTCCCAGAGGATCCGCTCCAGGTCCTTGGTCCAAGCCCCCTTCACCTCCCGGCTAAGTGCTTGGAGTATGTATGTGTCCTGGGTTTTCCTCTTCCTGAACCAGATCTCAAAACACAGGCCGCTCTCACCGCTGTTTTGGGTCATGCCTACATCTGATGTCTTATTTACAAACAAAGACAAATTGATCGTGTAAAATGGCAGTTTCTAACATAGCAAGCAGTTATGCAAGTTTGGCCAACCACAGACAAGACTCCAAGACTACTGTCTTGGGAATGCATAAAAATTGTGCTTGTGGAGAGTTATGAAGTGTGTCAGAGAGCTAATAAACTGCTGGAAAGGAGAGTGAAATAAATGTTGTGTAAGTGGTGGGCAAAGAATCTTACGAGGAGGGGCAGACCAGTCATCTGGAGTACAGTACAGGAATTTGACCTGGTGGTAACAGTAGTGGTTGTAATGGTTGGCTTTTGCATTAGGTTCATGGTCTTAATGGGTTTCTTGCTCAGATAGTGATTCGTCTAATATACACTCACTACTAAAAAAATAAGTAAAAACAACATAAAATTAATTTAATCATTTAGTAACAACTGTGTGGAAGCAGTACATTTTAAAATCATGCTCTCATCAACTGCTTTTCTATTTTCTTCAATGTACTGCAACTATTTTTTAACATAACATATTGTACTATTCGAATATTATTTAAAATATTCGTGCTTATGCTGGTGTGTGGTCAAAAGTCCAGGGCCATTTTTCATGTCTTACCGGTAAATGATGAATCAGTTTTGCTACGTTGTAATAAGCAAAGGAGATTTAATTTTCTCTGGAAGTGATGAGTAAATCTATTCCAAGGCAAAGGCAGCAGCATGCTCTTAGGCCTGACGGAAAACACATTGTACTGACAATGAGGAAGTAGTAACAATGCTGAGGCCTTATATTGCTGGATTTACTGGTATTTCACCATACTTATGAGGTCTGACAGGGTTATAGGGTTTGGGGTTAGAGCTAAAATTATGTTAGGGTAAGTCTAACAGTTGTGATGGTTACTGCTTAGGGTAAAGGGCTGGGGAATGCATTAAATCAATGATGGGTCCCCATGAATGAAGTAAAACAAGAATGTGTGGGTGTGTGTGGGTGGGTGTGTGCGTGCATATACTATGTGTACCTTGAATGACTGTTTGTAGATATATGTGTCATTTCCTACATCGGTCTTACGAGTTTTGCTAAAGAGGAGGAGTTCTTGAAAGAGGAAAATGTGGCGGAAACATTTCTTCTTTCTGAATGTTACCACAAACTCATCTTGGCGTATCAGCTGTCCCTGCTCCTTCAGATTAACCTGCAGTACACAAAAGGAGGAGACACGCTTAGGCTGATAAGCCATGGCCATGTTCTGTAGTCAGCAGTAATGCGTTTGTTGTTCTTCAAAAATAGTGAAAAAATTAAATAATATAAAAAATTAGTGAATCAGTGGACAGATTTTGCTCATACCAGTACGGTGAACATTAACACAACATATTATGAACTTCCTTATCATTTGTTGGAGTGCAAGAAAGACCATAAAGTTCATAAAGTAACTAACAAAACTGCTGTGAATCCAAGTCAATTCCACTGTACAGATAATGGAGCTCCAGGCCATCAACCCCCACACATCACACCTCCCTTTACATCTCATGAAGAAGATGATAACACTACAGTTTTCACTGCTCAACTCACTCCATCCCAGATTACTCATGACTAATCAATGATATTGTAAAAAAGTAAATAGACATTTCTAAGAACACCTCCCCTCGACCCCACTACACATAATCCTTATTGGATGTATGCCATAGTCTTTCCTGTACCTGTTTCCCTTCTCTCCATTGCATTTTTTCCAGTGATGTTGCTCAATGAAGGATCACAAGTAAAAAAAAAAATTCTCATTACAGTACATTTATGTGTAGAATACTTGTTCTGCATGTTCTGTAAGATATGAAATCCTCCTTTCAAATAATCTTGCCTGATGTTTACAAAATGACAAAAAGCTTACGTCACAATTGTGGATGGCGTCCATGGCCAGCAGGTTGTTGCCATGGCGGAGCTGGAAGTGAATGACCTCCAGGGCGGCCTTGACCTCAGCCATCTCTCTGGTTTGCCCCAGACCACACTCTCTCATCATGTCCTGCAGCAGCAGGCTGTACTTACTGATGCGCTGCACGGGCTTCAGCAGGTACGACCACAGGTCCATTTTATCCCCCAGCCTCAGCTGTTTTTGCTGGTGTGAGAGAGGAGACAGAGCAGCCAGTGAACCTGCAGCAGTGCTAGATATGTACTGGTAAAGCTACAATACCAGGATAATGCTAAAACTGAGTTGGAGAACAGCTTAATGTAAAGTGGATGAGACTCAGCAAGTTCCACCATTTTTGGTCCAGACTGAGAGATCTCAACAACCACAGGATGGATTACCATGACATTTTGTACAAATATTCATGTTCCCCAAAGAATGAATCGTAATGACTTTGGTGATCCTTTGATATCTCCGCCAGTGCCACCATGAGGTTGACATTTTTGTTTTTTAGTGAATGATGTCTTGACAGCTATTATTGCCATGAAACTTGGAGCAGATATTCATGTTCCCCACAGAATGAATTGTAATAACTTTGGTGATCAACTTCTCATCAGGTCAAAATTTTCAGATTGTCCAATACTTTGGATCATGACTGACTTACTCTTGTTAAAATGCACCAGGCTCTCTCCTCTAGAAAAATCCTGATGTAGTTTTAGCAGAGAAATGAGAAAAAGAGGAGCAAAGGCAGGCTGGCAGAGGTTCTCACCTTGAAGAAAGCCTGTCCATGATTGATGAGAAGAGTATCAGACTGTGGTTTGTTCTTGCTGTAAAGGGCATACAAAGCAAAGCTCTCTCTCTAAGATAAAAAAGAAAAAAAGAAAGAAAAAAATACCATAGTTATTCATCATTATCATCACCAGTTAAAAAATGTGTATGTGTCGCACTGTGAAATTCAGGCATAGTTTACCACTGGAGGATTGCGTAAGCTAATAAAACCTCGCTATTTTCAAAGAACGTGTCAATGATATCAACATTTCGGCTGTTGGAAGAAAAGATTCCTGGAAGCTACAGACATGGCATCGGTTCACGGTCTGGACACATCTGGAAGAGCTATTGTTATCGATTATTCTGAATTACTGCGGTTATGGTTCAAAACAGGAAACCATGGACGGCTACTTGTACGCGGACTCACATCTGCCTGTGGTTTTGTTATTTGAATAACAATCACACAGCTTTGAGAGACAATGTGAGTGTTTATAATATATTCTCATTAAGATCTAAAATTATTGTCAAATAATAACATAATCAAATTCAGAATTTTAATTTTTCCTAAACAAGGGTCATCACATTCTCAGAGCCAACAATTTCCAATACAGTCACAATAACACAAGTGGCACCAACATGTCGTAGGAAGCAGCGTCCCACTCTGAAGGGTTCATTCACGCAGCTCTCCAACTCATTCAGGAAATGGTGTCGGTGGAAGTCGTGGAGTTTTTCTAGGTTACCGAAGATGCTCCCCCTCTGGCCCCTGAGGTCCTGAGGGACGTCGGCCCTCTCCAGCTCAGGGAAGTAGTGTTCTCGGACATAACCCAGAGCCTTCACGTACTCCCTCTCTGTGGACAGCAGCTCCTCCATTATCCTCCGCAGTTTCCTGTTCCACATGTAGGAAATGAAAAATGTAAAGTCACTGATTTTACTAAAGCTCATAACTAAACCCAGGTGATCTTGGGATCACACTCAGTTTTACGTTATTTATCTTAATCTTTAATTTTTATATGACATTATTCTTTAACTGTTGAACAACTGAACCATTCATGAATGTATGGATATATTTTTTAGCATTTCACTTAATTTAAAGTTACAGCTGAGGGAGGGATGCATTACTTACAATACATTGCTGCCATTGTTTTCTGCTGGTGTGAGTAATGTCTCTGGGGTCCTTAAATCTTTAGGGCTCTGGGTGGAGACTGTGCATCCTTCTCCCTCCTCCTCATTACTGTCTCTTTTTGACTTGCAGCTCAAGTTTCCTGGGTGTAAACTCTCTTTATGGGAAATGGGCAGATTTTTGACAGGCTGCAGATTTTGTCCCAGTGGCTGTATCCTGTTCTGACAGTGTTTGTGTCTTACATTTAAAGGTGAAAAGCCAGAGATGCTCGTCAAATGAGAGCTAACACATGATCCCTCGCTTAGGGACCGACCCAAGGCTTTGTGCAATGGAAAATAATCGCCCACTTCGGTGGAGTCTGTGCCCCTCAGATCTGCCTCGCTGTGGTGCTCTCTTAGCCTCCATTTGGTTTTTGGATGACAGTCAACATTTTGTAAAAAAACAGGAGTTGTTTTCTCATTTTCAACTTTTGCATCAGTTAATTTCTGTGCATGATGTTCTCCTTTCTCGCACCCTCTCAAGTCAGGTTTTAAATGGTGGTTGGAACATGCAGCAGTGATGCTTTCTCTTGCATTTTCTGAGCTATTGTCCACCTCTTTAGGAGAGGTTGGCAGCTGTGTCAGGGAGGATTCATCCTCCCCCACCTCAGTCCTTCTCTCCTTCTTCATTCCTCCATCTTCCCCTTGAGAGTTTGCAGCTGTGGCCTGCTGGATCTGGTTCTTATCTACGTTTTTCTTCTTCTGCATCTCCTCAAGACACTGCCTTACTTCTTGGCACTGGACCCAAGTTGCATTCCACACCTTCATAACCTCAGAGGCCCCTGATCCCACACCACAGGCCTTAACTCTCAGAGCCTGGAAGTGCGGGGTAGAGAATTCGCCACCTAATCTCTCTTCATACATCTGGAGTGTGCTTAGGATCTGAGCTGAGTAACACCCCTGCCCTACCTGCTCCAAAAAATGACTGCATTCCTTGGCCAGGGCAGACGCCTAGACAGAGAGAGAGGGAGAAAGAAAAGTGAATTTAGTATTTTAGATTTAAAAGTTAGCACAAATCACACAGAAATATGCAGACAAAGGGCAAGTGAAGACAGAAACAAGTGAATGGAAAAAACATGGAGCAATAAAAAAAACAAAACAAACCTGATAGCAGAAGCGGTACACATGCACCAGAGTGTCCAGTTCTTTGGACCTCTTTTCTGCCCGCAACATAAAGCCATCCATATTGGATTTGAAAGTGCTGACCAGAGTACGAAAAATATCTGTTGCAGGACTGGAGTCACTGGTACCTACAAGTCCCTCTGCCTCCGTCACCAGGGTCAGAGCATGCTGTTGTTTCTCCTGAGAAAAACCATGAGATGTGAAGTGGAACTCTCTGTCTGTGAGTTCTTAATCTACTATTTACTGTTATCACTGCAGTCATTTAAATATTTCCATTTTCAGATTTGGGAGAATAACAGAAAAATGTTGGCAGGGGAACAGAAAAACAGAGAGCCAAATAAGGATAAATTTTTACATCCCTTTGATATATTGGAGTAATACCTTGCACTGAATGAGAAACTGTTCAAAGTGCTGCAAAGCCTTTTCTGTGCACACCAGGGTATTATCTGTTGTGTAAGAGTCCGTCAGTCTTTGTTCGCCTTCTGTATTGAACCAGGTCCCAGCCTGCAAGACGCAATGAAGAATTATATAATATTGGTTTATAGTTTGGCAAACCATGAGGGTCGTATTACATTTCTCATTTTAACAGTCACATTAATGAAAATGTGGACAAAATGTGACCAACTTTCATATCCCTGTCAACAATACATCGTTAATGAATTTTTTAGATACCTGAATACATTTTGTAGATTTTATTAGTGTGAATAGACTGAGAAAGCTGATAGTACCATGCTGATTTTGGCCTCCATCTCTCTGAGCTTGAAGAGGAACTCCAGTTGCTGCAGTGACTCATTCGATCTCATCACCAGCATGTGGAGCTTCTCCTCCACCTGGTTATACAGACTCGTTACTGACTCCAGAGCATCTCTGCAGGGAATATGTTATTTAAGCAATAATTTTATTAATGGAGAGCATAATAACTCTACACATGCTGTTCACATGCTTGCAGCCTTGATAAACTTGTAATTACAAAAAAGTCTAATGTAAATGATGTGTATATATCACAATATACCGTAAATGGAATAATTAACTGACTCAATATTAAAACTAATTTTTTTACCTAAGCATATGGCTAAAGTATCATTTAAAATTAAGTATTATCCATGTGCTGTGCATTTATCTGAAACAACAACTTTAACTGATGATGTAAATCACAGCTGTGGAAGAGAAACATATGTTCTATACAGTGTTGGAAGAAGTGTTCATATTATACCAGTGCAGAAATCCTGCATTTTAATATAACTTTAGGTTTAACTTTAACATTATGGGCGCTTGAGGTATAGCAAATTCTAACTGCTTATTATGTTCGTTGATGTGTGTTCATATTACAGTGGTGAAATGTATTGCCTCTGCACCCACACAGGTGTTTCCACTTATGTTGCTTAATTAGACCTCTTCTCAGGCCTGAGTGGGCAAGCACAAACTGGGCTTGATTTATATCTCCCTCACCCATCTGTTGGTATTGTTGTACCTGTAAGAGCAGGACACCCTGCATCAATCTAATTAGTACTGTACTTCAATTTGGTGACATTTAGTGTTATTCCCGTCATACCTCCAGCTAATTTACACCAGACTAAAGGTATAATCTGCCAACATAATTGAGAACACCTGTGTGGGTGTGCAGAGCAGTTAATTTGTAAAGTAACTAGTGACCATATATAAATGTAGTAAAAGTTAAAGTAATGGAGTAAAAAGTTCCATAACATGGAAATACTCCAATGAAGTACAAGTACCTCAAATTCTATTGAAGTACAGAACTTGAGTAAAAAATAAAGAATTGGCTAGTGTAGACAATGTAGAAGAAATGAGATTTGAGCAATGCTGTTACGATGTACGCGCATTGGCGGCCTCTGGTGGAGGCCTTACGCATACCCAGTAGGAAGAGGATTAAGTAAGTACGTTGTAATGAACTGTATGTACAAGTACGATTAAATATCATCGGATACCTGTAGTCTTCAGACTGTGGAAATCCTCTCTCCTCTCTCCTCATCCTGGCCAGAACAGCCCCTCCCTCTCTCTGCAGACTAACCAGTCGAGTGTCCTCTAGCACCTCTTTCATTGAAGCCCTCTGTTCCTGAATGCATTGCTGCACCTCCTGTGGCACATGCAATGTCAATATTTATGCACCCGTCCAAAATAAATATATTATATTATAGTATAGTATGAGTGTATACATTTTACCTGGGCAGTGTCTATCTTTTTGCTGCCATCTACTTTTCTGATGGCCCTCTGCAGCAAGCTGTCTGCCCCTTGCAGGTTAGTCATGAAGGAAACCAGCCTCTGGAAAAGAATTAAGGTCATAACTTATTGGAGGTTAACAGACATATGTTGCACTGTAATGAAAACAGGGTTTTTTTCTGGCAGACAGAAACTACATATCAGCAATCCGCTGCCTGCCTACAGAGAGAACAACGGGCAGTATCATCCTAAGGCCTATACGTGTGTACTGAGGTGTGCTTATTAGTTGAAGCTCTCTAAACACAGGAGACTTCGCTCAGTGTGCTGCTTGCTATGGCAGAAAAAGACCTAGAACAGAGATACTGAACAATGTCACAGTAGTTTCTTGGAACTGACCACTACTTTAACATCCTGGGTTGTTCATCTTTGCCTGTCTACTTTGTAGGCGACACAGCTACTCCCTAAAGCTGCTCCTAAGGATTGTTTCCATCTTCTGCATCAGTGGTTTTGCTCTCCGGCCTTTTTAGATTGAGACCCTTTACATCGAGGCTTTATCTACTAGTTACTCACATCACACTTTGCATACAGATGTCTATGAGTGGTTAAACCAAAGAATAACTTTTCCCTCTCAGTTTTATTAAGGGGCCCGAAGATGTAAAATGACAAATTAATTCACAAAAAATAGTAATAGAAAATAGTCAGAAAACTGACAGAAATATGTTATGTAATCATGTAGAAACCCCTGAGAAGCCTTCTACATAACACACTTCAGCTGCTTAGCTCTGACCTGCAGTTTAATGCCCCTGATGTGCAAAAAACTCTGTGTGTGACCATATCTTCCCTCCACTCAAAGGCTCAAGCTACATGTGGCATTAAACAACAGCAGAGATTATGAATGTCTGGTATGAACGTGTCTAAACACTAAGCACGCAAGCAAGTTAACAAACTGGATATCTGATGGGACAATAAAGATAACATTTGCACTGTATTTTGACATGAGAAATTTGGCTCCTACAAGGATAACAAGCAAACTACTCTGAATGTACAGGAAAAGCCACAGTTCAGCGAAGTGACTGTGTCATGTGACACCACAGCTGCAGCCGTTCTGTAGACTCATAGTGAATATTCAGTACCTGGTAGAACTGCAGCCAGTCTGTATGGCTGTAAGTAAAGGTACCGCCCAGGTCAGATGTCAGCTGGGAAGCTTCAACTGTCTTGTTGAGGGCTTTCATGGAAGTCACCATGTCCATCTGGTAATGATACAAAGCAGGGGCTTGGTGAGGAAGGAAGGAAAAGTAGCACTCAGCTCTGGTGTCAGAAAATAAAAGGAGGACATGAAAGTTGTTTTTATTTCTGACCTGCAGCCCGGGCTGTTTTTCAGGGCGTGGACAAGTGTCTTTATCCATCAGCATCACGATACTGTGCACAGCATGAAGAGCTTGCTCCTGCAGCAGGAAGTCAATAAATGAAAGACAAAAAAATCAGGTAAGATCTTCATGGTCTAATACAAGTAGTATTTGCTGATGACACGTGTTTGTTTTCTGGGTAAGGACTGTGTTTGATTGTTCATTCTGGCGTGTGTATTCAGCTGTCTTGTTTTAACCTGGGCCATCAGCAGAGCTTTGTAGAGGTGGAGTGGAGGAGGCTTTTTCCTGGCATTGATGACCAAAGTCATTCCCAGCTCTCGAACATCTTTCCTATGAAAACAATCCTTCATGTCAGGGCATATGAGGACATGTTTATTTAATCACAGTGGTCTTTATGTGGTAGTTGCATCATTCAAAGGCTTTCATGCTTCACTTCTTGCACTTCTCAGATCTGTATTTTTCTTTCGCTCTTTGACATACACACGAACACACACACACTCACACTTCTTCACATATCCTATTCCACTTCTTCAACACCTTCACACGCAACCTCCCTCTTAATGCCCTGTTCTTGGGTAACTGTTGTGTGAACCCACATGAGACATGACTGCTAATTCTAGCGAGGCGCTGCATACCAGACAGTTGGCAGCCAGCCTGGCTAAAGACTGTTGGGAGTAGGGCTTTTTACTGGGGGGACAGAGGAAGGCCAAGCTATCTTGGTAGAATGGCTTTTTGAAGTTCAAAGACACAATTAAACCCAGTGTAAACAAATAACACTGTTCGCTAGTAGACATCTGAGGGTGATGGGAAACAGTTTTGGCAAAGGGTCAACACAGGTCAATGTTAACTGCGAGCTGATGTAAAGGCAAAACTTGATGAGACAGAATTATTCATAAAATTCTGAATCTGCATATTTTTTTGTTGTATTAGTTGTAAAACATTAAATATTCAAGGGATGAGTCATCGGGAATCTCTTAGTTTGGATCTAAGAGCATGCATCATATCCAAAGTTAGAAAATACACTTCAATAATGCTCTGCTGCCCTCTAGTGGTCAGGCCTGTTGTTACATACCACAACACTGGGAGCTCCCCAGTGAGCCAACAATAACAAAGTTCTGCTCGGCCAGTGAGGAGATCACTATCCCACAATGAACATGGGTCAATTTCCTCTAATTATGATTAGACTAAATAAGGCCTGTTGCTTACAGGTATTTGTTGTTTTTTTTAAATACATACATACATAAAGCATTGTTTCCAGTACCTTGGTATGGAGTGTAGGTAGAGCAGCAACTCGCACACATTCTGAGCTGATACAAAGGGGGATGTCCACTCCTTTCTGTCACCATGAACCTCCACAACTGCTCTGCCTGTCCTGTCCCTGCTGCCTGGAGACAACCAGGGCAGTGAAAAGTTAGTGACTAGTAACTGTTTATCAGGAAATGATAGGAGAAAAACTTCCAGTAGTGCACTAAGACAAGTAAAGACACATTGAAAGTTTTGTTAAATGTTGTACTGTAAATTTGCTTGATAAATGCTATAAGGATTACAAATCATCCAAATCACTGAATGTATATATCATTTGATGTTTGTCCTTGAGGTGTCATGACTTCTAGTGACTGGTTAGGACTCCCAGTCGTTTCAACATCGCCATCATCACAGTATAACATTTTCACGCAGTGACATAAAAGTGAGATTTTGAGATAAAGAAATCTGTATCGACTTGGGGATTATTTGGGTGAATGTACAATGCTTTTATATAAAGCTAAAACATGTTAAAAGAACCTCCCCATAACCAACCACATTTTAATATAAGATTACTAATGTCAGACATATTAGTGCAAAGTACCTGGCAAACAAATAATGCCTAATTCAAGCAGACCACTGATGCTTCTGAAAATGGATTCTTCTGTTTGTGGAGGCTGCGACGTGTCAGAACTTGCGGACGGAATCTGGACTTGCGGAGATGATGGCTTTTCTATCTTGGAGTTGTGGAGTCTGGAGGTGGCTCCATCTGTGGTGGAGGAAGTTTCACATCTGCTTGAGTGGGAGTCTGTCAGTAGACACAAATATACATGTTTTCTGACCAGCAAAGACAACCTAAAAAGTCAAAATCTCATGGGGACATTACAAGGAAAAGTTAGTCTGGGTGTGTTCTGTTTCTCATAAATTGATTTAGTTTGAACCATCAGACCGTTTTTCTTGAGGGAATTCTAAGACAATACTTAAATTCTGTCCAGTGACATTTGCCGTTTCATACTAACTACTAACAGTAATCACTCATTTCTTCAGCCATAACGCTTAATAGCTCTTTATCAACATGGACCTACCCTACACAGGTGCACAGCTGTGTGCGGACAGAATGTAAACATTGGACATGGCGAGTCTGTAACAAAGCACTGCGGTGGCTACTAAGCCTGGCTTTGATTTCAGACATCCTAACTGAACTCTCCTCAGAGCCAACAAAGCCTCGCCTGTGCTCTCTCTCTTTGCGGCTTTAATAGTCCATGACAAGCATGTCTCTAGTCAAGATCTCATCATGCCCCTCTGAGGGCAGGATGGTGCATGCCAGCGGGTGCAGGGCACACAGAAACCTCCTTCTTGCATGTTATGCTGTCTCTCTACATTAGAGGAATGCTCTGCTCTTTCTTTTTACCCAGTGGTATCAGGCCCTCTCTTTCATCAGGGGGCAGCATGCTATTTCCGTTCACTCCCTCGGTAATGGGAATGACGTGAGTGCAGCCGTACTGCCAAAGAACCCAGACAACAGTGGGAGAATCCTTGGAGGAAGATCATATTAGAGCCTGACCTTTGACCTTTGAACCCTTTTTCTAAAGAGCCTTTATGAACTGTGACCCTAAGTTGAGTGCATTCCCTTGAGCACACAAGGTCACAGTTGAGTTTCAATCAGTCTGTTTGGTGTGGACGTTCAGAGACCATTTGAGGGTTGAGTAACAGATCATAATAAATGGCTTTGTGTGCAATAATAACAATGTACAAAATGTGTGTGTGGGTGGAGGTTAAAAGGAAATCAGTAGAGAATGAAATATTGAATTACAAAAGAAGTCTGAAGAGTCAGTCTTAATTTGCTAACTCTACTTGCCTCTTTTTGAACACTTTCCGGCCAGTCTTTCAAGCTTCGGAGTCACCTGATCCAACAGTTCCCCTTTTTTACACTGGATTATGCTGGAGATTGTTTCAGGGCAAATATCACTGTGGCTCCTGTTGTTGAGTTTGTAGAGAAGTGGACTCCCCTTAGGTGTCTCTGACACAGTGGACAGAGACCTCATCTTAACTTTGTGTTTCCCCGATGGTTTTACAACCTCCACCTTCTGCTGTGGTTTCATGTCTCCCTCTCCAAGACACACATCTGACCCTGGATGCACACTGACATTATGTCCTAATGGGTGGGAAATAAGTTTTGTCTGAACTCTGTGACTATGGCTCAAACCAGGGGACGATTTCAAAATCGTGGGTGATTCCTTCATAAGGTTTTCAGATTCAGAACTCGTAGGATTGTCTTTAAGGACAGACGCAAAGTTTTCTGGTGTTGTTTCACAACAGTGTTTGTGTTGGCAGAGCTCATGACGTATCACAGCCTCTTTAGAGTGGTTGCAAATGCTTCCAAATTCATCTCTTGAAGCTACAAACAAACCCCTGGATCTTAACTCCCCCTCTTCACAAAGGCCGACCTCCTCCAGAGCAGACAGGAGGTCTACACTCCCCCTCTCAAAAGGGACTGGGTTTCTCAGTGCTGCCAGGTAAGAGTCTCTGTACCGACACTTTAAGTCGTGTTCAGTGAGCTCCTGCCCCAGCTTTCTCTGGCTACATGGCGTACAAGGCTCCTCTGCATACTGGAGGGTGCGCCCACAGGGAACACTATGCCCAAGTGGTGCAGGTGTAGGTGTCACAGGTTTGAACAAAGCTGAATTGGGTGGATTTTGGTGGCTGTCTCTCTGTTTATCTACAAAGTCCTTCCCTTTGGCGATATCCACCAGGTCTACATAGTCACCCTCAATCTCTGGATAGTTACGACTGTCCCAGGTATTAGGAGAAACCCAACCCACAGGTTTGATTAAAGGTTTGGAGTATGATTTTGGCATTCTTCTTTCATGCTCCATTTTGACAAGTCTGGAAGAACAGTCCACAGGTCTCAAAGATGCTGACATCCTGTCTTTTGCAGAGAAAATCGCCGCTTCTATCGGGAGGGTGGAGGAGTTAAAATGGGAGGGAACTGAGATCTGCTTCGGCTCAGGAGGAGCTTCCCGATAACTGGGCATGATCTTAGGCTTGTCCAGAAATTCTGGGATAGCTATTTTGGCCCAGGGAAATGTGATCACTCCCTGATCTGTGCAAAGCAAGCAGCGTGACAGAGGAGTTCCATGGCGTCCTTCATTGATGTCCTGCAGCCAATCTTCAGTGAAGATGCTGGGGTACGAAGTTTCAGGCACGGGGGTCTCCTCCACTTCTCGACAGCCCTCTTCCAGAAGACTTTTGAGGACAATGCGAGCCGCTTGGTCCCCGAAAGGTTCCACCTGTAGATAGAAATCTCCAGGACGCAGAAGCAAGGGGTTCACAGGTGCTAACTGGATGACGGTTTTGTCATGGAGACATAGAGGCCAGCCCTCACAGCGGAAAACCACATCAGAGTATCCAGCCTAGAAAAACATTAAAATTGAGCATCATTACAGTGCCATTTTGTTTTAATTTGCTCTACATAATTCATTTTTCTCAGAGTTTCATTGATGTATTTTTCCCTATTTCTAAGTAGTTTCCTTGCCTCCTAATTTCAGCCATCTGCAGTAAATTGTTTGTAAGAGTATACTTTTAAATCTTAGTTATTACCAGAACAATATGAAATATTTATGATTTCAAGGACATTTAATACACATAGGATATGAAGATCCGAATTATCTCACATGCATTTCTGTGTTTGTATATACTGTATGTACAAACACTGGCCTAACAGTGTACACTAGCTAATCTGTGGCTTATATATTCATCATAGTTTTATATAAACATTATTTATGGAATGCATAGACAGTTGCACTCCCCACCACCACCCCAAACTGTGCAGTATATGAAAAGAAAAGAGGGAGTGTCCCTGTTTTTATTCTTTGTCTTGGGATAAGTTCTGTAATCATAATTTTGGGGTTCGGGGTGGGGTTACACACAGAAAATATACTGCCATGGAGTTGGTGAGATATGCTGTGAGCTACAGCTTGGGCCCATTTTTTTTCACCTAATTTTTTTTTACATTTTAGCAAATTGTTAGCATTGAAACTATTACCTGTTGATTTTTGTACAGATACTTATCACTGAATTACCTTGATATTGGATAAAACTTCAAAATGTGATGATTCTTAGGTAAGTTCTGTTTGATCAGAGGCTGTGATATTACAGAAGTGTATGTAACACTGAATCTAAAACTATAAGTATCATGTGTGTTAAGATGTGACTGAGTTATGACTCATGACAAGGAGCAGCTATGATTTTAAAGGAAAATTGCAGCTGTTCACCTCAGGCAGTGTCCTTGCCCTGCATCCTTCCCACAAACCCTAGGTGTGCCTCACAATTTGAAAACCTCTACATAGTCTAATCCAAATCTCGACAACACGTCATATTTACACAAGTGTAAAAATAATAAATCTGACAAATGTCACTGTTTCTGCTCCAACCACCTCCTATATTTAATTCTATTTTAAATTCTTTTTTAACCATCCCTCCAAGAGCAGAGGCTTTTCTGCCAAATCTAACTGAATAAATAACTGCATTACATTTCCTGACGCACATTAAGTCCCTCTAAGAAAACTGCTGTTTGTAATGGTACAGCTTATATAATTTTAAAAGATGTGTGCATATGCAGTTTTTACTTTAAGAGAGAGGGGAACAAGTGTGTAAGTTAAGATGTATGATACTCACACATGCTGCCTGTTGGACACTCTCCAACAGGTGTTTGGAGGGGATGAGGAAATCTAGCAGGCACTGCAATGCATCACCGTGGTAACGCTCCTCAATGGTGCGAAACAACTGGCTGAGGACGATGGGCGCTGTGGCCTCGAAAGGCGGGAAGAGAGCTGAGAGGGCGCTCTGGATGGATGAGTCCAGAGATTCTGGGTTCTACAGGACAAGAATAGATGGAGGTCAGTGAGATGGGGTTTGTGCAGTCTCGATGGGGAAAAAAAACATATATTGTGAGACTTTCCAGGACCTATCTCAAGAATACAAGACATTAAAAAAAAGAAAAAAAAAGACGGTGTGTAATGTTGAGTTTCTCTGTTCTTAGATCTGGTAGGGCGTGCATGTTAGTGCACGCGCGTGTGCATGTTAGTGAGTAGTATTAGTCCCTCCTGTTTATAAATACACTGGGACCGCCCACACACTAGATGGCACAGTGCGGTGAGCAGCCTTCAGGTGAAAGTGTCAGTGTTCAGGTGAGCGCCCCTTTCCAGAAGTTCCTCCACTGAAGAAACAATGACAGACGGACTGACCATCGGGACTACATGCTGAAATCCCAGTTGGTCTGTGTTTCATTCGCGTGGATAAGTCCAGGGCAGAATTTTTTTTTCCAGTCCAACCATGGAGCCAATACTGGTCCTGCTTTACCAAGATGGAGAACCCTATGAGCTGCTCCAGCTTCACTCCGAAATGGTGTTTCTTCCCGTCAATGCGTAAGTAACCTGATGGCTACATAATGTCACATGTCTGTTTTCATTAGTAACCGGCTGCAGTAGGCATGATAAAGTTAGCTAATTTGCTGATACCTATATTATACATGTATTCGGCAAATGTTGCTATCGCTAGCTGGCTAACTGTCAGCATTGTCATGGAGCATATCAAGGCAAGGCTAGCTTGGGCTAACGGTTGTGGTTGGATTGTTTTTGTTGTTGGCTCTCGTGTACACAAGGTCACTTTCTTTGGTTGGGCTTCTTGTTGTCTGTTTAGTGGCCGCTTAACATGCTGACTGAGAACATGAATGGAGGGGAGGAGGGTAGTTGTGACCAAACGGAGGTTAGAGCTGTGGCCGACGACGCGTTTGTTTTGGCCTGAGATGCTGGTGGTCTAGTGCGACATCTAGTGACGATCGTTTACCGAACCGCTAAGATTGTATCCAATAGCCTTATGTTGGACCTCATTTTATCAAATGCTTGTATTTCAAACTCACAGGAACTCCACCAAACTGCGTAAGTAGGACTGCAGAAATCAAATAAAAAATCACGTAACACCTAATGATCGCAAGAATACATCGGCTGTGCATATAAAGTTTAGGCTTAACAGAACATCAGTGTTTATGTTAACGAAAGAGTGGTGTGATCTGCATATACTTTTCAAATGAGAAATGAGCTGACTTTCCAACCAAGGCACATGAACAACAAAATATTTTATGGAGGCAAAATAAATATTTCATTAGATTACATTGTGTCATATAATTAATGCAACTTCCCTCACACTGAAATCCTGGTTTGTAGCCTTTTTCCTCTTATGACTTGATGGACATCTGCAATTATCATTTCCAGCCTCATTCATTTTTTATTTGACTGGAAATATGTGTATGAAAAGGTGAAACAACCTGGCAGCAATCTATTATGACTGGAAAATTCATTTGGCCATAGTTTGAGGAATGAGAGTTTGAAAACATTACATAAAATACCCTTTAAATAGGTTCACCGATTTTCATAGTGGTTATGGAATCACATCAACTACCCTAAAAGGGGTCCAGTCATTGCCTGCTTTTTATGTTTTTATCACCATACTTTTGTTAATTTGTGTTTAATGCAACTTTTAGACAATATGCAATATGCTCATCTTTGCATTTCAGCTCTGGTCAGCCATGGCTTTTCATTGTGATCTGCACTTGTGATCAATTAGTACTTAGTTCTAGTGAATTTCAAAGGAAAATGTCTACTTGGACATGTTGTAACACTGATTTATTTGAAGGAAGTCCACATGGCCAAGATACATGCAGAACAAATGCTCTGTAAATGCAAAATGACCGGACAGATATTTTTCTTGGCCCTTTACCCTGCACTGTGCTTGTTTGGAGTCCCTCAAAGAATCTTTGGTTTTAGTATCAGGAACAAAAGGAAACAGTGATATGTTTTTCTGTTTGAGTACAGTTTTTGGATCAGTGAAATCTTACACAGCAAAATCATCTCAAACAAACTGAAACCTGCAGCAAAAGTTCAGATTCACCAAAATCACAGTGAAGAAGTCTGTCAACTCAACACAAGACTTAAGGTAAATTAAAACTGTCATATTTCAAGAGGGGTATTTCTGAGCCTAATCAAAAGCATTTCAACTGTATCTGGAGATGATTAAGTCTGTCCTGTGTGAGTATGTGCAACTTGTTTCATGTCTGGCCAGGATACACTTCATTTAAGATGATATATTTGTAGCAGACCAGGGGCAGCGTCTGATCTTATTCAAAGTGACATCAGGAGGAAAGCACATAGAGAAGCATATGGTTTAATCACAAATGCCCATAGAGATGCAACAGTGTAAAATGACACCATTGTCTTTCACACTGGGTGCTAGTGTTTACTGCATTACAAATCTGCTTTTGGTAACGTTCTGAACATCTGCATTGGATAAGCTACTGGCACCAGCTCTGGGTGAAGTCCAGCTAAATACTCAGAAACTAAAGCGATGAAAATAGGGCATCTTTTTGGTGAACCGGCCGGGCGGTGAGCAAGACTGAGGTGATGATGTTTTGAGATGTGAGGGTTGTCAACATAGATTAGTAAAAAATTCAAGCATTTTAACACAATGTTGAGCATTGCAAACACTGTACTTTTGATTTGATTGTATAATATGGCTTCTACAGTAAAAAAGACTTTGACAAAAAGGGATTTGCCTGTCAGTTGGCTGTAATGTGTCAAATGAAACAAACAATAACTTTGCAGTAATATGCTTGTGCATGGCAAAAAATCACCAATTTTCTTCACATGTTCACCTTTCTAAATAAACAGGATCCTTGGTGCTTATATTTAACATACAGTATTATATTTAATATCACAGTCTTGGCTTGGATAGGGGTGTACTTTTTCTTTATCATTGCTTCTTTTAGTTTGTCTCATTTAGACTGTATAGTCAAATAAATGTCTCTTTGCGATGAAAAGGAACAATATTCAGGTTGAGTTGTCAGCTGAAAATAAGGACTTGACACTTACATATTTTGGGTCTGGACAGGTCTTAGAAGTTAACCACAGCAGGCATGCTATTCATACAATCAGTTCACAGTACCCTGCTGTGCAAATCTCCCAGCCCCACAAAGGACTCTGTTTTTATCCCCTTCCTCATTTAGCTTGATGGCCTGACCAAGACCAGAGCCTGGCCCAGGGTAAACACAAGTCTAGCAGCTTCAAAGACCTCACACTGGTTAGCACTGGGACCGTGCTAAGCACTTGGCTAACGGATACATACAGTATGTAAGCAACTTGGACATCAAACATTGGGAGCAAAGGTCATAATGAATATTTCAGTAAATCTTTCAGCCTTTGTGCTTAGCTACATCTTTGGTATTGTGCATTTGGTGGTTTTGTCTGAGTGTCTGAGATGTATGTGAAATAAGCTAACATTAATCATCAGCAGTTAATGTGGGGTGTTGGATGTAAATCAATATCAATATTTGACCACTTATAGTATTCTGATTCTCTGTATCTCCTGTAGACATTGCATGCCCTCAGCAGAAAGGAATGCTTCCTTTTTCTGATTGTGCACATCTGTCACAATAGATTAGGAAATGGACAAGAGAATACCTTTGAGGCTGGCTCTTGAATGATAATGCATCACAGCTGTTTTAGACTGACTGCAGCCATTCAACTTTGGGTTCTACTGAATTTCTCATGGCTAAATGTAAGCCTGAGTTCCTATCTCATAAAGCGCAGTGCTGTGAAGTTACTCTGCTGACCAGAAAAAATTCAATTTCCAATTCAGTTTTATTTAAATCAGCACAGCTTGGCGTGTGTGCTGTCACTCTGACTTGTAGATTTCATTGCTGATTCCACACATTTATTATCTCTCTCTCAAATTAAATCGAAGGCAACTGGACTTGTATTTGTCTGTGGAAGACGTTTCGCCTCTTATCCAAGCGGCTTCATCAGTTCATCATGTATTGGTCTCTCTAGTCCGCACTAGTCTGACCAAGAAAATGGAGTAGGACCCAGGTATTTAACCTCTTGTGGGTGGGTCCACCAAAGTACCTGTGAAAGTACTGGTTTCACCTGACACATTTATTAGAGCACGTCTACTCTTCTGTAACTTAAAATCAGTCCTTCACTGCAATTCAACCTCCAACTAAAATGTCAGTGACTTATTATCATAACATTACTCCAAAATCATTTGAGATTCAAGCCTCTTTTTGTTAACACTGTGGTCTAAATTGACAAAGGCTGAATGCCTGGATAAACTCTCAAAACAACGAAGTTTGAAAGCATGAGGCATTTCCCCCTGACTGGAGGTCCTCTCTGTGGGTGGTTTGGCAAGTGATATTCATATGAGTGAGACCCTCTTGAGACTTTCCTAAGCATAGCTCAGCTGGACCCAGCTCAGACAGGCTAGCCAGCCAAATGAACTGAGGGCAGGGAGGGTGGCTGCCGGTGTTGCGAGTTCTTCTGTATCTCATTACATCTGACAAACTGCCAGACAACATGCCAAACAGGCCTGAGCTGCAAGAGGTTCAGCATGAATTCTTTTGAGACAAAGCAAAATTGTGTCCTGAAGAGGTACTGTTGGTTTGGCATTTGAAAAAACACTGGCTTTAATTGTGACCATAATGAGAATGATGGTCGTAATTGTAATCACAGAAAAATGATAGTAAATGGTAGTAGCCCTTTTGGACTGTGACCATATGTATGCTGGTTAAAATATGTTAGCTAAGTACTTGCACTGTTCAATGAGCAAGCAAACTGTAAAAATACATATGTATGAACTATTGGCCTTTGAACACAACCTTTCTGGACAAGACAGGATGCCTGACAGGCAACGCATTCAGCATCTGCATTTGATACATTAAAAACACACATGCTCAGTTACTTACTTCATCTTCTCTAGTCCTCATGGTTTTGATTTCTCTTGTTATTCTGCATGTTTTGAATCATTATTGATTCCCATGACCTTCA